TCGCTATTATGAATGATACTTGATTAAAAGGTACTATTTTTTGTATCCTTAACACCTGAGATACATTTTCAGGTATGGTGTGCACTATGCTTTGATATGGTTAAATGTTGTTCCTTAACCGGGCAGTTATAAAATCCATTTTCATGTATGGTGTGCACAATGCTTTGATTTGGGACTTAAGTATAGGGAGTACTATGCTTTGATATGGTCAAATGTTTTTCCTTAACTGGGCAGTTATAAAATCCATTTTCAGGTATGGTGTTCACTATGCAAGAGGCTTATGTAGTCAAGATGGGATTTGTTCTTCTTATGTGTTGAGAGTTAGACATCTAAGGCACCTTACCAAAAGTTGAACAACTAATGAGATTGATCACGATCCAAATCTCATGTTCAACATGATGTCTATAACAAAAGGATAACTGATAAACTTACCTTATACACCAATTGTAACTTTGAGATTTTTGTGAATTAGGTGTTGATAAAATGTCACAAAGTCGTATGTTGTTGGGGGCAGTGAAATGTTGCTAGACGTTCACCACTATCTATATTGGTCTAATATGAGTCTTGCGTAAGTGGGAGATTGAAAGGTCTAGTATACTCAAGAGTTATATTAAAGTGATATTGCTAATTAACATATGATACTAATGGGTCACACTAACAACATCTTGATACAACTGATTATTTATTAAAAATTGATTTTAACAAATATTCAGTAAAACTCTTATAATTAAATTGGAAATTATTTATTTCATGGAATAATAATTTTTCATTAGCAAGTAACATAATATATCATATGATATGATTTATAGTCATATATATTAATTTGTACTAGAAAGACTTTTGTCTTTTAGCCAAAAAGCAAACTTTATAACTTATAAAAGGCTTGTGAGTTTTTTTTTATAAAAGTTTGACTTCTTTTATATATAAAATCCGAAACATGCTTCTAGGAAGCTTATGGGCTTTTGATTATTTTAATGGAAAGTATGACATGTCATAAAAGCATGGGGAGACAAGTTTGCTTTTGGGGACATGTGTGCTTAAAGTGTTAAGACTTAATGGTTAATACTTTCAGTTTATGCATATAAATAAGGGGCTTGCATTTTGGTTAAAGATTCATTCTTTTCTTGATGCAAATCTGAAACTTGTTTCTTCTCTCTCCCTCTCTCTAGTTTTGGTTAGAAAACTTGAAGATTACTTGCATTTATACTCTCTTGAAGTTCATATTTTGGTTATGAACTTCAAGCTTAAGGGTTTAAGAGTTTATAGATTAGCATCTACACCAAGTTAAGTCATTGTTAGTATCTCAAAGGTTCCACATTCTTCATCAACTTCCAAACTTCCCAAGAGGACCCAAAGAACAACAAATGTTGTTATTTCTTCATCATTTCTATGTTTGGTATTTTATTTTTCTATAACTTGCAAGAAGATCTTTGGTGGGTTTAAAATTGTTATGTTATGTTCAAAATTTGAAGTCTTCCGTTGTCATATTTTTCTAGTTTATGAAACTATTTTGAACTAAAATCCAACACAAGGTCGATCTAAGGTTAATGGATGATGAAAAGTAACAAACCTTGTAGTTAATGCACCTTAAATCGCCTTAAGTAAAATCAGGTTCAACTTATGGGCCAAAGGCACCCTCACCATAATTTAACATATTATTCAGTTTTTCGGTAAATACAATTTATGGGTTCCTGCTTTGCTCCATCATGCTTCGCTTCAAACTTCTGTAGATTAAGAGAAATCGAAATGAAAGAAGAGGAAAGAATGTGAAATCATTGAATGATAAAGGAGGAAAGCAGTGGTGATTTAATTTCAAAAGTTCAGAAAATTAGCAAGAATCGTCCCCTACATTGAAATCATGCACTAAGACCACCATATGACTTGAAAATAACTAGTAAGTATTAAGTATAGAATTTTCATAATTAAACATTCATTCTTCACTACTTTCATGACTTTCAAGTCCCCTTTAGTCAAAAAGAGTCAACTTTCCAACTTTCATTATTTGGAAATGTTAGGCGTGTCAAACCCAACAAATAAAGGGGTACGATATACTCCAAAATAATCCCACTATATTGCACTAAAAGGTAGTACAAGGTAAGCAGGGTCAATCCACAGAGACACAGGACAATTAGTCTATACCTCTTTGCACAAGGTACTATAGTCACCAATAGTAAAAGGAGAGGGGGGTTTAGAATGTAATGATTAAACAAATAATTAAAAACATAAGCAATCAATTAAGTGCGTGAATTAAGTTCAGAATTTGTGAGGACTCCAACCCCATGTATGACAATTTAGCAATGTGACTCCAAGATGACACAATATTCGTTCAATTCTATCTAAGTTGGTACTTGAAAGTGCTAATAAGCTCTAACACTTCCCATTCACCATATTAATTAACCGAAACAAGCTCTTTGATTAATCCTAACCTTATTAACCTAATCTAAACAAGCTCTTAGGATTAGATTATAAGATTGCATGAAGCTTTATGTGAATGTTCCCAACAACACCCAATACTCCTCATAAGCTCGGGAGTGTAAAAGTGTATGAATAAGATTTACACTAAATTCATTCAATAGAGATCAATTTAATGCTTGTTACTTGTTCAATTTCACAAAACAATTACGGATTTTGTAAAAGAGATAACTTGAATGACCTAACCCTAATTCAAATGGCCAATAAGAATCATAATTAGAATCAAACATTCGATTGAAGCAAAATCAAATTCATTAAATAGAAATTAAGAACAAACATCATGTCATATGAATGAAGTCACTACCAAGAAGTCAAAACATGAAATTGGAGAAATTAGGGTTCTAGCCACACATGGCTAGAACAAGATCACAAGAATAAAAGATGGAATTAAAGTGCAATTACAACTTACAAATACTAGAAATAATGTTTCCAAATGATTGCTAATCAAACCCTTGCAAAAACCTTTGAAAATCCTCCTCTAATGGTGCTCTGGTATCTTCTTTTTTTTTTGTCCAAATAACCCTCAACCCGTAATATGAAAGATAGAAAAACTGCCAAAAGTTGGTTTCTGGGTCGAACACGGCCCGTGTTAAAATAGGCTAAACTGACACGGGTCGTGTTCAGCAACACGACCCGTGTTGATTTGCACTAAACTGACACGGGTCGTGTTCAGCATGGTCAACAGCTCCCATTTTGGTCAAACACGCCCCGTGTTGATTTTTCAGTGTAAATCAACACGCCCCGTGTACCTCTCTGACTCCAATTCCAAACTTGATTTTTCCAACTTTTTAGTTCTTCGCCGGATCGTCCCGAAATCTCCACCAATGCTTCCCGACACTTCCCAAAGCGCGTTCCAACCTCCGGTTTACCTGAAAAAGATATAAAAGTGTGCAAATAAGGTTGTTCTAGAGACTAAAATGAATATGATAAAATGCAAGGAAAAGGAAGAACAATTTTGCTAAATATATGCATAAAATGGGACTAAAAGGTGCACAAATAGCACCTAACAAATCTCCCCAAGCTTAGACCTTTCTTGTCCTCAAGAAAGAACAAGAACCGGACAACAGGACGATTTCTAGATGGCAAAAAGAAAAACTTAGAACGAAAAGGGGATGAAGGATCATAAAGGTTAAGAATGAATGCATGCAATGCAATGCCATGAAAATATGTTCAAAATGCACCTGAGAAACAAAATGAAGCAAAAGAAAAGAAAATTAAGAACAAACACAAAATATGTACTTTTGTAACTAAATAAAGGTACGATCAGACTTTACATCAATAGGGCTTCGATCATTGATACCTTGGCAACCATCCTGTTTCCTTCCACATATCACAGATTCTCAATGTGAGGAAGACCCGAAACGGTGTGTAACCCAATAATCCAACCAAAGTTTTATTTAATCTTTATACCTTACTAAGCTTTATGGGTGAAAATAACATAGTTCGGATTTCATGTCCTTAAGACTAAATGGCTAAGAATCAGAATCGACGCCTCCTTAAGAACCCGTCACGGCAAATCAGCTTTCGCTGAAACAGTGAGCCCACCCGAAGGGGCTCAGCTCCTATGCTTTCACTTTTTCGAGAGCCACAAGTATCATATCACACAGTTCTTCATTCGCCATATTTGACTTGAGTTGGCTTTTGATTTGATTGAGCTTTGATTTGTACTTCGTTTTGAATTTGGATTCTTCAATCTTCATCTTTGGAATTTCTTTGTTTTGGTATTTGAAATTCTGATTGGGGTACTGGATATGACAGTTGTACCCTTCCTTCATTCTTGACTGTGTGGGTCTGATACATAAGCTCTCTGTTACCACGTGGGTAACGCGTGTCAACAAATAGGTCCGTGTTCTGTGGGTTCAGAGTTGCCGATAAAGATTCTTTTTAAACATTCAAAAGCAAATCATCCTAAAGCTGTTATTACCGCCCAAAAAACGTTTCAATATAAATTTTTTATTATTATCTGAGGGTAGGGTCTCGAATTACGATATTTGGGTCCCCTAGTTATGACAGCTGATTCTATGCTTCCGGTAACAATCCGGTTGCTTCGATATTTTTCATTTCATGGAGCAATTATATGTAAAGAGTGTCATCATCTCGTACACTTTTTTTTTTTTGGAAGAAAAATTGAAAATAAGAAAATGCATGTATGAGAATGAGTGAACCTAAAATACAAGTCTACCCCTCCCCAAGCTTAAAGATAAGCATCGTCCCCGATGCTTGGAGAGGGTGGAACAACCTAAAACGGAGGTGGAGGAGGAGGATAGTAGCTGGGGTTTCGGGTCCAAGCCCAGAAGTCCTCCTCATGTTTGCGTTGACGCTCTTGATCCCGAGCGTACTGGGTGGTGAAGGTGGAAAAATTATGGGTCAGGCTGGTAATATCCTGCTGATAGGTGTCGAGGCGGGTATGGATTGATTGGAATTCGTCCATATATTGTTGATGATAAGGTGGGGGTGCAGCAAAACAGGATGAGCTGCCACCACCGGTGGGAGAAGCATGGTGAGGCTCCTCCTCTCCTTCATCATCATCACCTTTCCTCGTTTTCTTCGCTTTGCTCATCGACCTCGGTGGAATAAGAGTGGGGGAAGATGTATGGAATGATTTGCCAATCAGTCATATGAATGGGATTTCGGAAATCAAGAATGCCTTTATTTTCTGGTGTGATGAGGAGCTTGGGATCATGATTTTGACCCACGGTCCAGTGGTGTGTACCATCGCCTGCCGAGCGGAAGAGTCGCATGGACTCAAGGATAGCGGTGGTGAGATAAGGCTCACCCGGCAGTGGCTGGTGGGGACCGGGGTATGGGGCTCGGATGTGGGCGCTCTTGGCGAGCATGCTGACAATACCCCCGCAAACAATCTTTCCTGATCGGGATGCGCTAAGGCGGATGAGCTTGTGGCACAGAAACCGACCATAATGAGGAATGAGGTTATTCTCGGGATGGGTCATTGCATAAAGGATTTTAAGTTCCAGCGCGCTAATGGTGCTTCGCTCCTCTCTAGGGGCGACGAGCGAAGCAATGATTCTGTGAGCTACCTTAATCACAGGATGGATAAGTGATGAGGCTTTAGCAGCGCTAGAGACATATGGATGTAATTGGGTGAGCTGGGTCCACCAAGTCATGTCATAGTATCCTTGGATTGGATCAGTGGGGCCAAATGTGTTTTCCGTTGGGGCCCCCACAATGGCATTGATTTGATCCAAGGAGATCTCATAGTCTTGATTCATTAGACGGAAGTAGAGGATCCCATGATCTAAATAAACTGAGGATAGAAACTCAGCAGTTGGGACTTTATAGCTCAATTCATGGACCCTCAACAAGCCGTGCCACCCTATGTTGCGAAACAGGGTTTTGACTTGATTGTAAACATGCAACTCTTTCAAAGTTGGAACATGCGCGAATTTTTGGATGGCATGACCTCGTTTAAGGAATGACTCAAGTTTGCCCTGTTGAACTGGGCCAAGACATACGACACCAAAATGAGACGGGTCGGCTGGGGGTGTTGGGGACCTAGATGGAGGTGAGGGAGATCTAGATGGAGGTGATGGAGATCTAGGCTTCCGACGGCGGGCGGATGATTTGGTTTGTCTTGGTCTTTTGGAAGATGTAGCTTCCATAGTCAAGTTTGGGACAGATTAAAAGTCAACGGGTCAAAATGTCAAAAAGTCAACTGTTGACGGGTCCAGTCAACTTTGAACTTGGCCACCAAAATTTCGCGGGAAATTTGGTTTTCAAAGATTTCCAACTAAGAATCAAGTCCAAATAGACCACACTTTCAAGTATTTGACTCAAGAACACAAAATTCAAAGGTTAGGAGTTGGAAAGAATTTACCGAATCGTGTGTTGGATCGTGTTGTTCTTGATGGAAAAGATCTTCTTTAACCTCCCCAAGCTTGCCCCTTTCAAGATTGAGACACTAAAACACCAAAATCAAGTGAGAATTTTCGGATCTAGGGTTTGTCAAAACCCCCAAATCCACCATTAAAATGCAAGAAAATGGTGTTTAAGATGGAGAAGATGAAGTGTAGATGATGAAAATCAAACCTTTTTGTAGATGAAAGTCAAAATCTTGAAGAAATTGAAAGGTATTTGATGAAAATCGGACCTAAGGTTTTTGTTGGGAGAGAGGGGCTGTTAGGAAGTGAAAGTGGGGATAAATGAGGTCAAATCCCGATTTTTTTCTTTAAAAAGGGCCTGAACTATTGCGCGAACACGACCCGTGTCTCCCCAGGCTAAATTGACACGCCCCGTGTTGGGGGTTTATGCTGCGTTATGCACGAACACGACCCGTGTTGGGTCAAGGCCAAAAACAACACGACCCGTGTTGCTCTCTGGAAAAATTTGGGACTTTTTTGGACTAACACGACCCGTGTCATTTGCAGGCCAAAATGGGACACGACCCGTGTTGCTCTCTGGAAGATTTTGGGACTTTTTTGGACGAACACGACCCGTGTCATTTGCAGGCCAAAATGGGACACGACCCGTGTTGCTCTCTGGAAGATTTTGGGACTTTTTTGGACGAACACGACCCGTGTCATTTGCAGGCCAAAATGGGACACGACCCGTGTTGCTCTCTGGATGCTAATCCCCACTTTTTGAATTTGAAAATTTCCCTCTCTCGGAAATGAAGTACTTTTCCACCCCAAGGTCCGTTCTTTTGGTTTGAAAACAATGAAAAAACACATTTGGAACACTAAAAAAAATAAGAATGCAAAGAATGAAATGTTTTAGCAAAAAATGACGAAAATACCCCCGGGTTGCCTCCCGGTTAGCTGCCCTTGTTTTAAGTCGTTGGCTCGACTTTGTCCCCCAGGCGTGATTCATTCTTGGTATGCGGGGTTCTCCAACTCTTCTACCTCTTCATTCTTCACCTCAAATCCCTCATAAAACGGCTTCAACCTGTGACCATTGACTTTGAATGTTTTACCCGTTTGCTTGCTCGTGACTTCCACTGCACCATGGTCAAACACCCTTGTGACTACGAAAGGACCGACCCATCTTGATCTTAACTTTCCTGAAATTAGCTTGAATCTCGAGTGATAAAGCAACACCTTTTGTCCTTGTATAAAGGTCTTTCGGGAAATTGCTCTGTCATGATATGCTTTTGTTTTCTCCTTATAGATCATGCTACTTTCGTATGCATCATTCCGAATCTCTTCTAGCTCTTGGATATCCAGTTTCCTTTTATTTCCCACCTCATCTTCAGTCATGTTGAATTTCTTTACCGCCCAAAAAGCTTTATGCTCAAGCTCAACTGGGAGATGACATGCTTTACCAAACACAAGCCGATATGGGGACATACCAATTGGAGTCTTAAAAGCAGTACGGTATGCCCATAAGGCATCATCTAGCCTTAAGCTCCAGTCTTTGCGGTTTGGGTTGACTGTTTTCTCCAAGATACTTTTGATTTGTCTGTTGGAAACTTCTGCTTGTCCATTGGTTTGGGGATGGTAAGCCGTTGAGACTTTGTGTGTCACTCCATATCTCTTCAAAACAGCTTCTAGCATCCGATTGCAAAAATGGGTCCCGCGGTCACTTATGAGCGCCTTTGGTGTGCCAAACCGTGAGAAAATCTGTACCTTAAGGAAATCAACCACAACTTTTGAATCATTAGTACGGGTGGCCTTAGCCTCCACCCATTTGGACACATAGTCCACTGCTAACAAAATATAAGAGCAACCAAAAGATGATGGAAATGGTCCCATAAAGTCAATGCCCCATACATCAAAAATTTCACATACTAGAATAGGGGTAAGGGGCATTTGATTTCTAGAGCTTAAGGACCCGGATTTTTGGCATCTTTCACAATGTGCACAAAGTACATAGGAATCATGAAAATAGAAGGCCAAAAGAATCCGCTATCTAAAACTTTCCTAGCTGTCCTTTGGGGTCCAAAGTGACCACCACAAGCATAGGAATGACAAAAATTAAGGATAGATTGTACCTCTTTTTGCTCAACACACCTGCGAATTACTTGGTCCGCACAGTACTTCCAAAGGTAAGGTTCATCCCATATGTATCGTTTGGCTTCTTTTTTGATTTTGTCTCTTTGCCAACGGGATGAATCTGGGGGAAATTGACTTGTGACCAAGTAGTTGACGATATCTGCATACCATGGTGCCTCTTTGGCTGCAAATAGATTCTCATCCGGAAATGTGTCACAGATGGGTTTACCATCTTCGGGTGATACGATGCGACTTAGATGATCCGCAACCAGATTTTCCTTTCCACTCTTGTCTTTGATCTCAATATCGAACTCTTGCAAAAGCAGCATCCACCGTATTAACCTCGGCTTTGAGTCTTTCTTTGTAAGCAAGTGTTTTATGGCTGCATGGTCCGAATATATGATCACTTTAGTTCCAAGGAGGTATTGTCGAAACTTCTCCAAAGCAAAGACAATAGCAAGCAACTCTTTCTCTGTTGTGGTGTAGTTGCCTTGTGCCCTATCAAGGGTCTTTGATGCATAGTAGATGACATGATGTGCTCGATCAACCTTTTGTCCCAAAACTGCCCCAACCGCGGTATTGCTAGCATCGCACATGATTTCGAATGGAAGATCCCAATTTGGCGGTTGAATAATGGGGGCGGATGTCAACAAATCTTTCAAAAGATCAAATGCCTTTTTGCATTCATCACCAAACTCAAAATCAGCCTCCTTTTGTAGAAGTTGACACATCGGTACCGTAATCTTGGAAAAATCCTTTATAAACCGCCGATAAAAACCTGCATGGCCAAGAAAAGAACGTACTTCCCGAACATTTGTCGGGTATGGTAAGCTCTTAATAATATCTGTTTTGGCCTTGTCAACTTCTAAACCTTTCTGGGACACCACATGTCCAAGTATCAAGCCCTTGTCGACCATAAAATGGCATTTTTCATAATTAAGGACTAAGTTCGTGTCAATGCACCTTTGTAAGATTTTGGTGAGATTTTGCAAACATTCATTAAAAGAGTTTCCATAAATAGTAAAATCGTCCATGAAAACCTCTATGATATTTTCAACATATTCTGAAAATATGCTCACCATACATCTTTGGAAGGTTGCGGGTGCATTGCACAAACCAAAGGGCATGCGTCTATACGCAAAGGTGCCGAAGGGACATGTGAATGTGGTTTTCTCTTGGTCTTCCGGGGCAACCGGAATTTGATGAAAACCAGAGAAACCATCAAGGCAGCAGTAATGGGATTTCCCGGCCAATCGTTCTAACATCTGATCAATGAATGGCAAAGGGAAGTGGTCTTTGCGGGTGGAAGCATTCAGCTTCTATAATCGATACAAACTCTCCACCCGTTTTGCACACGGGTGGGTACCAATTCCCCTTCGGAGTTTTTGACAACGGTAACTCCAGCTTTTTTCGGGACTACTTGCACAGGACTCACCCACTTACTATCAGAAATAGGATAGATTACACCTGCATCCAAGAGCTTCATGATCTCCTTTTTGACCACCTCCATCATAGGTGGATTCAACCTCCTCTGTGCTTCACGGGTTGGCTTGAAGTCCTCTTCCATCAGTATTTTGTGCATGCATAATGATGGGCTCAACCCTTTTATATCCGCAATAGTCCAACCAATAGCCTCCTTGTATTTCTTCAAAATTCCAACTAACTCTTTTTCTTCTTCTCGTGCCAGCTTAGTCGAAATTATCACCGGTAGTGTCTCTTCCTCTCCAAGATAGACATACTTGAGATGGTCGGGAAGAGCCTTCAACTCAAGAGTCGGCGGCTGTACTATGGATGGGAGAAGTTTCGGATTAGAACTTTTTAGCTTCATGCGGGGTGGTTCAACTCTCATGGTTGTGCTTTCTCCAAGGAATCAATTACTTCGATCAATTCGTCTTCCAATGTGTACTTGTCAGCCAACTCTTTAATCCCTATCTCATCAAAGTGTTTGCTCAAGATGGTGGTTAGCACATCTTGGCTTGACATCTCAAAGCAATCATTAGTACATGAATCAATAACATCTATGAAGTTTAAAGAATGAATATCGCTAGGATAACGCATAGCTTCAAAGATATTAAAGTTAATTACCTCACCATCGAATTCCATTGACAAAGTACCATTGGCTACATCTATTTTTGTTTTTGCGGTACTCATAAAGGGTCTCCCCAAAAGGATGGAGCTCGATTGTGGGGTGTTTTCATCACCCATGTCTAAAACATAAAAATCAGCGGGAAAAACGAGCTCATTAACTTGCACTAACACGTCCTCCAATACACCTTTCGGATGTACCAAAGACCGATCAGCAAGTTGAATGATAACTCCGGTTTTTGATAAAGGTCCAATTCCCATTGACTTATAACTTGAATAAGGTAAAACATTAATTGAGGCTCCAAGATCAAGCATGGCACGTGGTACAAAAAGGTTACCCATTTTGCAAGGAACCGTGAAAACACCCGGATCCTTGCATTTTTTTGGTAGCCGTTTTTGTAACACGGCTGAGACATTTTCACCAACCTTCACGGTTTGATTTCCTTTAAGCTTTTTCTTAGATGTGCAAAGTTCCTTAAGGAACTTAGCATATCTAGGAATTTGTGTAATGGCATCTAGAAGAGGGATATTGATTTCAACCTTTCGAAACATGGCCATGATTTCGTCATCTTCCCTTTCTCTTTTGGTGCTTGCCAGCCTTGAAGGAAATGGAGCTGGTGTGACTTTCACTTCAGATTCTATTAGCTTCTTGGACTTTGGATTACTCTTCTTTTCCTCTTCTTTGATAGCTTCTTCCACCTCAATCTCCTTCTCTTCTTCTTCTTCCTCCGGCATCTTTGGATTTTCATAGCTTTTCCCACCTCTTAATGTAATTGCACACGCATTGTGTTTTGGGTTCTTCTCCGTTTGAGAGGGTAGCTTGCCTTGCGACTCCATCTTACTTACGGACTGAGCAAGTTGTGATACTTGTTGCTCCAAGCTTTTTATGCTCGCCTTGGTTTCTTGTTGAAAGCTTTGAGTACTTGTGGCAAGGCTTTTTACTATGTCTTCTAGGGACATATTTGAAGAACTCGCTTGGGGAGGGGGTTGTTGTGGATGCCTTGGTTGGAAATTTTGAGGTTGGAATGGTGGTCGTGGTTGATTTTGAGGAAATGGTGGTCTTGGTTGATATTGATGCGATTGATTGTGCTGATAGTTCCCTTGTTGATTGCCTCCCCACCCTTGATTATTGTTCCATCGCTGATCACCTCTTGGTTGCTCATAACCTCTTTGATTTGCCCCCGAATAGCCTCCCATGACTTTCGCTTCTTCATAATCTTCCTCTTGGAGTTGTGGGCACATATCAGTTGGATGCCCCACTTGGGTGCAAATACCGCACGGGCGGGGTGTGGACTGCACACCTTTGTCTTTGGCCAACATCATGACTACTTTCGTGAGCTCGGACAACTGAGCTTCAATCTGAGGAGTTTGTACTTCTTTTACACCTCGGGGTGCATCCGTGTACCATTCTTCATCATGGCTTGAATGTTTGGAATCTTCAGCCATGTTCTTGATTAGATTTCGGATCTCAGTTGGGGTTTTATCGGGCAAAGATCCACCACTAGAGGCGTTAAGAAGCCTTCTTTCCATTGGGGTCATTCCTTCAATGAAATATTGGAGGAGTTGGTATTCGGTAATCCCATGCTTTGGGCATCGAGCACAAAGTTTCTTGAATCGATCCCAATATGCATGAAAAGCTTCTCTCTTGTGCTGCTTGATTCCAATGATTTCCCTCCGTAGGGCGGAAGCTTTCATCTCGGGAAAGTACTTATCCAAAAACAACCTTGCAAGATCTACCCAAGTAGTTACCGTCCCCGGTGGGAGGTCATAAAGCCAGTCTTTGGCCGCGTCTTGCACCGCAAAGGGGAATGCCCTAAGCTTGATTTGGTCCTCCGTGACATTGTGTGGTTTCATACCCACACATACTACATGGAACTCGGTGAGGAACTTGTGAGGATCTTCGTTCTCCAATCCTCTAAAAGTTGGGAGTAAATGGATAAGCCCGGATTTTAGTTCCAAGTTGGTGGCGGCTGGGTATGTGATGCAAAGAGGTTGTTGAGTCACCTCTTGTCTTGACCATTGGCGGAGGGTTTGTTCGGGTGGTGGGTTTGGAGGTGGATTTCCTCCAGGGATGTCTGCCATGGCTTGAGAAGTGGGTGATGTTTCTGTAGGCGAAGTGTTTAGGATATTATGAATAGGTGAAGAAGGTGAAGTGGTATTGTTGGGTGAAGATGGTTGTGATGAGAGTGAGAGACTTTCTGTTTCTGATGTGGATACACTTGAGAGGGGTATGTCCTCCCAAATGTTGATGACCGGGGGAGTAGATGATGAAGAAGTCCCGGAACCCGGTTGCCTCTTACGAAGCTTGGCTTGCTTCCTTAACTTCTTTGCAGTCTTCTCTATCTCCGAATCAATTGGCAATGGCGTACCTGTACGAAAAGATCTAGGCATAAACAATTAGTAACACCGTGTCCCTGGCAACGGCGCCAATTTGTTAGGCGTGTCAAACCCAACAAATAAAGGGGTACGATATACTCCAAAATAATCCCACTATATTGCACTAAAAGGTAGTACAAGGTAAGCAGGGTCGATCCACAGAGACACAGGACAATTAGTCTATACCTCTTTGCACAAGGTACTATAGTCACCAATAGTAAAAGGAGAGGGGGGGTTTAGAATGTAATGATTAAACAAATAATTAAAAACATAAGCAATCAATTAAGTGCGTGAATTAAGTTCAGAATTTGTGAGGACTCCAACCCCATGTATGACAATTTAGCAATGTGACTCCAAGATGACACAATATTCGTTCAATTCTATCTAAGTTGGTACTTGAAAGTGCTAATAAGCTCTAACACTTCCCATTCACCATATTAATTAACCAAAACAAGCTCTTTGATTAATCCTAACCTTATTAACCTAATCTAAACAAGCTCTTAGGATTAGATTATAAGATTGCATGAAGCTTTATGTGAATGTTCCCAACAACACCCAATACTCCTCATAAGCTCGGGAGTGTAAAAGTGTATGAATAAGATTTACACTAAATTCATTCAATAGAGATCAATTTAATGCTTGTTACTTGTTCAATTTCACAAAACAATTACGGATTTTGTAAAAGAGATAACTTGAATGACCTAACCCTAATTCAAATGGCCAATAAGAATCATAATTAGAATCAAACATTCGATTGAAGCAAAATCAAATTCATTAAATAGAAATTAAGAACAAACATCATGTCATATGAATGAAGTCACTACCAAGAAGTCAAAACATGAAATTGGAGAAATTAGGGTTCTAGCCACACATGGCTAGAACAAGATCACAAGAATAAAAGATGAAATTAAAGTGCAATTACAACTTACAAATACTAGAAATAATGTTTCCAAATGATTGCTAATCAAACCCTTGCAAAAACCTTTGAAAATCCTCCTCCAATGGTGCTCTGGTATCTTCTTTTTTTGTCCAAATAACCCTCAACCCGTAATATGAAAGATAGAAAAATTGCCAAAAGTTGGTTTCTGGGTCGAACACGGCCCGTGTTAAAATAGGCTAAACTGACACAGGTTGTGTTCAGCAACACGCCCCGTGTTGATTTGCACTAAACTGACACGGGTCGTGTTCAACATGGTCAACAGCTCCCATTTTGGTCAAACACGCCCCGTGTTGATTTTTCAGTGTAAATCAACACGCCCCGTGTACCTCTCTGACTCCAATTCCAAACTTGATTTTTCCAACTTTTTAGTTCTTAGCCGGATCGTCCCGAAATCTCCACCAATGCTTCCCGACACTTCCCAAAGCGCGTTCCAACCTCCGGTTTACCTGAAAAAGATATAAAAGTGTGCAAATAAAGTTGTTCTAGAGACTAAAATGAATATGATAAAATGCAAGGAAAAGGAAGAACAATTTTGCTAAATATATGCATAAAATGGGACTAAAAGGTGTGCAAAAAGGTGCACAAATAGCACCTAACAGGAAACTTTAGTCCCTTTAATATAAGTTATTTATTATTTAGTTTGACTTTATTAAATTTCTAAGTGATTTTTAGCATTTTGATTATATTTAATATCTTTTTAATTGTATTTAAATTATTTAATATGTTTATTTTATTTATTCCAAAAAAAATATTTTACTAAAAATGATCAAAACTTCTAAGCCCGATTAGAGGAATCAATCGATAACTAGATTTATTAGCAATTATGTATGTTGTTGGTATTTTTTCTCTCTCAATAACCCATCAATGGCGGCGTAAGTGTGGTTTTCAAAGTTGTTCAAGTAGAAGATGGTAAGTAAATATGAGAGTTTTGAGTTTTCTCTTGTTAGGTAAGATGAGATGAAAGAAAATAATACAGTTTAGACGAATAATGGTTTGCGGACTAAAAGAATGATCACCGATAATGCAGAGAAGTCGATGAATGATAATGTTGTTGATTGTGATTGTGGTGAGATGCAGACTGGTTGAGTTGTTAGCAGCTTTGTAAAAAAGACGAAGTCTTATATTTTCTTAGAAACAAATTAGGCTTTAATAAATTAGCCATATAATGAGAGGTCATTTCATCATACTCCACGATTTAAAACTAAACAAATGTTAAAATAAATGATCAAAACCACAATAAATGTAAAATAAAAACAAATGTAAAAAGACAAGTCTTTTACAAGTTCAAATTTTTTGAAATCCACCAAAATAATCACAAACCACATAACCATTTTTTGTAATTTTCTCAAAATCTAATGTATCGAGTAGTCATAGAATTGATGCCCCAAAAGTAGCAATGGATTTAGTTTGGACTTGTATCGACAGCAAACAAACACAAATACCAAACACAAACAACCAAAAAAGAGGTCTCTTTTATTTAATGCGAAAATATATTTAATAATTGCTTCATACAAATACAATACAACCCCTCTCTTTCTCTCTCCTCTCTCCACAACACCAAAACCCTAAAACACCTGTTTCCCCACACAAGTAAGCTCTCTCTCTCTCTCTCTCTCTCTCTCTCTCTCTCTCCATTTATACGAACTGTTGTGTCTCTCTCTGTCCCTTTAAAAATATTTGTTCTTTGTTGTATTATACTTTATGCGACCCCCCATAGATCGTTTCATGCTCCTCCGCACATGATCTGTTTTTTGTAGCAAGATCTGACTTTTCCCCCTTTTTTGTTACTATCAATTTGAATGCTTTTTTGTTTTAGTATGATTGTATTTGACTGTTTTCTACATTTTTTATTGTAATGATTTCTAGGGTTTAAATTTCGATTATTGATCCGTTTGTTTGTATCGAATTTTAAGTAATGAAATCATAAATTTTGTTGTTGAATATCGCATCGTTAATTTTGGATCTGTTTCTCTTTCGAAATTCCTCTGTTCGAATCTCCGATTAATAGAATTGTTTTTGAGTTAATTAATGTTCATATTCGATTTAAACGAACTCGAATCATATCTGTATGTTAATTTTTGGGGGAATTATTTGGATTTTGGTTAAGAATCTGCTTCTGTGCTTAATCTTTAGGTTTAATGGAGGATGATGGATTGAATATGCGAAATTGGGGATATTACGAACCTTCATTTAGGGAACATCTCGGATTGCAATTAATGTCTCCAATTCCAGACACAAAACCTTTCCTTTCTACACGAGAAAGTTCAATCCTGATGAACCCTAATCCCACTACAAATCACCACCATATTCCCAATTATCCCCCTTCGGATCCATCGATTCCAATTCACTACATGAGAGATAGCTGGATACAAAGAGAAAGATTCCTCCATATCCTCCCCGGAAACCACAACTTTCCGGTCATCCCCACCACTTCAACCTCCCACGTCATGCCATCATTACACATTGCGCCACCACCACCACTCGATCTGTCAAAAGACACAGTCACGACCATGGAAGACAATGTAGTCGTCAGAAAAGACAGTGTCAGTGTCAATGGCGGTGATGGTGGTGGTTCGGTGAAGAAAAGAGGCGGCACCACCGCCGCCGCCGCCGCCGGAAAACCTCCAAGAGCAAAGAAACAAAAAAAGACTCCTTCTACACCAAAAGAAAACGGTAACTCTTCTTCTCAACGTCCAAAAACAATGAAAAGAAACATGGATGTGGTCATAAATGGAATAGACATGGACATTTCTGGGATTCCGATACCTGTGTGTTCATGCACCGGAGCTTCACAGCAATGTTACCGGTGGGGCTCCGGTGGGTGGCAGTCCGCCTGCTGCACCACCACCATCTCCATGTATCCACTTCCGATGAGCACCAAACGCCGTGGGGCAAGGATTGCAGGGAGGAAGATGAGTCGAGGGGCATTTAAGAAAGTCTTGGAAAAGTTAGCGTCTGAAGGATATAATTTTGCAAATGCGATTGATTTAAGAACTTTTTGGGCAAAACATGGAACTAATAAATTTGTCACCATTAGGTAGGTTTAACTAAATTAGTATATATTTACTATTATTATTTATTTTTTAAGGTTTTTTGACATTTTTGTCCAAGAAGAAGTTTACATTGGATTATGAACTTGGTTTATTATTTTTTTATTAAAAATTTATTCTTTTTGAGTATCTTGGTTGCAAATAAACAAGTCTTTATGATGTTATTTTTGTAATATGTAGAAAATGTAGTAACTTGATATTGTTTGTATGAAAAATGAAAAAAATATGAATGATAGGGGTCATGTGTTTTACTGTTTTATATAGATTATGAGTCAATAATATAGATACATGGGTCCACTTTGGTTGCATTTTAAACTTGAAAGATAAATTAAAAGTATTATAGAAAAAAGGTTAAAATATTTAAAGTATTAAATGTTTTTTTAAGGAAAGTAGCAAGAACCCTGGAAAGTATAACAAGAAGAAAATAAGAAAAAACAAGAAAATAAGAAAAACAAGGAAAAGTGAAGTGAAGTGAATAGCTACCAAAGGCCACAAGAGCCTATGAAAACACAACCAATATTGTCGAGATTGATTGAGACACATACGTATCTTGCTTGAGAGTTGAGACCGACAATGTTGACTGCCACCAACGGACACCAACATTTTGGATAAATATGAAATATTTTAGTGAAATAATAAATCTGATATATATTAATAAAATAATAAATATGATATATGTTAGTAAATAGTAAATATTTTTTTAGAAAATTAGAAAAGAAATATCCAAAATAATGTCATATGTTAGTAAAATGATATATATATATATATATATATATATATATATATATATATATATATATATATATATATATATATATATATATATATATATATATATATATATATATATATATTAGGAGCTGTTTGGCAGGATCTGAATTTTTAAAAATATCTAAAAATTTTAAGAGGATCTGAAATTTTAAGAACTGAATGTTTAACATGTTGTTTGGTTGAGACCTCTGAACTGCTGTGTTAAATTATTAAAACGACTATTTTACCTTTTTGTTTTATTTTTTATTGAATTCAACTGTTTGTTTAGAAAATAACCTAATAAATTTCTTAAATACATAATAAAAAAAATATAAACACCATATAAAATCTAAATTTAGCAAGTTTATTCTTACATTAAATAAGATAGATAAAAGATAAATTAGTTAACTTACAAAATTTGTAAAGTTTAACCATTGAATATTGTATATAATAAAAGTTTTTTGATGGATAAAAGTTAGTGGAAAAATAATGTGTCAAAAGTATTAATATTTTTTTAGTTCTCCAAGGGCAAATTAAGGTAAGGGCAAATTAAGGTTTAGCACTAATGTATATTAAGCCACCTTTAATGGAATAGTAATACCAGATGTCATGTGCCATTGCAATAAGCCACATCCATGAGAAGTGCTTGTAAGGGTAAACCAGTAAGCTTGAAACTAGATTAAAGAGAACTTGATGCGCCTCTCTAGGATGTAATCGTCTAATTGAAGGTGAATGGCCTACTTCATGGCTCCACAATGAAGACTTGAAACCTATATGAACAAACTATTTGTAATCTATATGAACAAACTATTTGTAAGCCGATAACCGAGAAGGTTTTTCCGAGCAAACGGTATAATGCTAAAGTTAGAATCAAGAAATGGTTGAATCGTAATTAGTTATGTGAATAGTGGATTATAAATATAGATCGCAATTTCCCTGTAGCTACTATTTATACCCAACTTGTTGGGAGTCATTATTTTCCCTTACCAAGTAGGTTTCAGTCTTATTGCATTTATTATTCTTAAGACTGGAGGTACAAGTATATGTACTTAAGTAATGTTATTAGTCACGTCAACTATTCAGTGACAATCCCCTCCAGTTCGGTTATCGGGGGTATATAATTGGCTCAACTATTTAGTACGTCTGGCTGAGTTATGTTAGTGTATTTTCGGAGGTTCTTCTTTGTAGGGATATATGTATAACACAAACATATATCCTATTAGAATTCAAGAGATTCCATACCATTCCTTTTGAAAAGTACCACACATGTATAACTCCAAGGACAAAATGTTGAGTGTAGTGACTTAGAACTTTAGGATGATACCTGAGGCAAATACAGATATATGTGGAAGTAATATAAGCCCATATTAATGGAAGCACAGGCATCGTACGAGATGAAAAAAAGTCATAAGGTTGTTGATGAGCTGGTAGATGAGTGTATAGTCTATGTTAGCACTATGACCTATTTTATTGACCTATCAACCTATATATTTATAATATTGTGATGACCAAAGGTTCAGGTTCGGGTACTAGCGGCTAGGCGAGGTAAGATCCAAGTGGTAAAGAGTTATGTAAGATGATTGTTGATGAGGCACCTACGGTGATTAGGGAGATGATTTTGGAGTTGTTTAGGTATATCAAAACCCAGGTGAAAGCCATGTTCGATGAGCATTATGTCACTGTTATTAATGTTATTTGTCGTCACAGCCATTAACATAGGACGTCCAGGTGGTGGATCGGTATCCTATCGTGAGTTCAAAAGCACAAAGTCCCCTGAGTTTGATGGTACCAAAGATGTGATTTGTTGCGATGAGATCGATATCAGATGTGGAAGGATGTTTTTACACGTGTTCATATCCAGATAACCATAAGTTCAGGCTTGCGCAAAACCTTCTTCGTTTGGGGGCAAAGGACTGGTGGAACTTAGTCTCTATGAACCTTTTCCACGTTGAGCGGGGCGTGATGACTTTGGAGCAGTTCACAATGATGTTTAGGGTTGAGTATGTTCCATTGGTGGAGAAAGAGAGGTTGTTCATGTTGGTGATTTTAGTGTTATCTACATATTGTGGTGTAATTATTATTAATAATGAGATGGACCGAACTCCATTCACTAACCGAGCTTGAAGGTAGGGGTGCAGACTCAACGTGATAAATATGAACTCATGAATACGGTGGTCTAGGGGCAAGGACACTGAAAGCAGGGTTTAATGGGGTACAACCCCTTGGTGGGGTCTAGGGGCAACACCCCTAGGGGGTCCGAGGGGAAGAGCCCCTAACGGTATAATAGGTACTCTTGGACAGGATCTAATGATCAATGTCCAAAACCACAAGGTTAGAATTTTATTTATGAAATTACTACTACTGTTGTTATATATCATGTAACATTTATTCCTGAATCATTCTATGTTCAGGATGATGATCATGCACGGTGGATAAATTTGGGAGGGGGGGGGGGGACAAGTCATGTGTTTAAAGATCACTCTTGTTTCAATGATTATGAAGTAGTTAACAGTTTTCCAAGGGGCAACGCCCTAAAACGTAATCAGATTTCTATGTCGAGTATGACTCCTATCATGCATTTTCCCGTCGAATCTGTAGTGATATCATGAGTTGGTTATGTCTTAATAACCAACTATTTTTTGGTGCCAAAAGGATGCGAATTCCATTTAACTACTTTTCTAAATCGAAATTCTTTGGATTATCCCAAATCTGATGTCATGATACTCTAGGCTATAGGGTCGAAATCAACAATTTTGGAAAGCGGTTGTAATCACAATCCAAGAAATATTTCTAAGTATATTGATTTTCTTAAAACCCCAATTCCTAACATTCAAAATTTGTGATTTGCAAGAATATCAATGGTATAATCTGTTAAACACATGACTTCACTGATTTTCGTCGTTGGCAAAAGAATATGCATTTCCTTCTCAATACACTGAATGTCGTTCATGTTTTGAGCAATCCTGTACCATAACCAATGGAGGATGATGTTGCATTTTTATTAAAAAAAATTGATTCGAAAACATAAAATTTAGGCAATGGAAACTGATAAATTTTGAATAACATAAACAAGTTAAAACCACCAAGGATCATCTTGCAAGTTGTAGAAAGATTAAATCACTAACTAAAGAAGAAATGAAAAAATAACAACCTTTGTAGTTCTTTGGATCCTCTTAGGAGGCTTGGAAGTTGATGAACAATGATGAACTTAAGAGACACCAACTCATTGCCTACCTTCATTTGGTGAAAGTCAACCAATCAAAATCATATTCTTCTTACTTCATAATTGCTCCCACAATTATAATTTATAACCGACTAAGAACTTTTAGAATAATAATATTCATGGATTAGACATGTTAATATAGAACACAACAAGTATTGATGTTATGATCATCTCCTAGTATAATAAAACACTATATAATAGTTCTTGTTACAATGTTCCAATATCCAAATACTAAATCCAAATCAAAATCCCATTTCTAGAATAATAAAGTATTGTATCTGAAGTGTAACCATTCATACTTAGCTTAAAATAAGGGCTATATTCGACTAAACTTAATTTATGTGAACTCTGTGAATACTATCATCTCCATATTTAAGTTTACTCTAGGTATAGTTAAACTTGGAGTATATGATTATTGTTCTTTCATGACATAGAGTCTCTTAGCTCAATTAACTATACTCTCGAAGTCACAAAGATTTTTATGTGATCCTTGAATGACAAAAATGAACATAGTTTTTCAATGAATTCATTTATTGAATCATATTTTATTTCAACTTCTAAAGTGATGTATTCTTATTTTGTAGTAGATTGTGTCATTTTGTTTTGCTTGGACCTCATTCCAACTAAACTTACTCTTCATCCCACAATGAAGTCATAATCGAATTATAATTCATAATTATTTATATTTTTGTAGAAATTAGAATCTTATTTATCTCTTTACATGAAGATTTTATTCTAAACTAATTGTCTCATATACATTCTCTTAGTTCTTCTAAAGTACTCTTAGAATGTTCTTATAGTCATCTGGTGACTTAACCATGTATTCAATTGGTATGTTATGATATGCTCATAACATGATCATATACCAAGTCGTATGCATAATATGGTATAAATGATGGGTTCATCTATCAAGAAAATCGAATAGAAGTCATTTCAGCTAGTTCAAACCTATGAGCTAGGTCTTTTGAGGCTGGCTCAAACTAGTTCCATGTGACAATACCAAGATTCCTCCAAAGGA